TGTCTTCACAAAGACACACACACACACATGTTACAGACGGAGATGGCACAGATCTGATACCAGATACCAGTATTGAGTCGCTATTAGTGGAAATTTCTGAATGGGATATCTGAGGGAAGAAGAAAAGAGTGAATGTGATCCAATGCTGTAACAAATCTGTCCTGAGATATTAGTTGTATATTTCTTCCTGTGGGGTAGCAGAGTGTTTAAGTAGTAATGATGGCCTACTTTTAGACGCAGATCTTAACTGAAGAACTTCAAGTAAAAATACCTAATTTTAAAGCTTAGTAGGATTTAAAAACAAATTATTGGATTGGTATCATCCAATACTGAAGATTTTAATATCATTATCGGTCAGCATTGTAGTGTTTGAGTCTGTAAATTAGCGGTCCCAGTCTTGTCTCTGTCTAGGGGTAAGGTGGACTCTAAATTGTTCTCGAGACCAGCCAAGTACAACGCCTCTGTCTGAGGCTATTTTTTCAGACCGAGCACGAGTACATTTTTTTAAGTACATGCCGATGCAGATACCATAATGAGTAAGTTAGTAAGTTGTTAGTGTAAATGCGTGCAATGTACTTTAACAGTTAAATCTAGCTGTTAAACAGTTCAATTTGAATGCATTAGCTAGCTATCCTAAATGAATTAGCTTGTGTCAAAACCCTTCTGTCAGTGAAGTACGTCTCAAAGTCTCTCTAGCACAGTGACCAGCAGGAATCACATCCAATTACTTTATGTTTGAGTCATTTATTCATCAGCGCAGAAGTGTACAGTAGGCTTACATCACATTGTATCAGGTGGTACTGAATCTTAGTATTGGTACACTTTTTGAGTATGATTAAATGAGCTGATACCTGATACCACTATCAGCATTGTTGGATCCCTAAAAATTATATTTAAATAGTATAACTAATGCCGGCCTTACACCAAACGCCTTTCAAGCGATTTCACTGTCGCAGCCAAATATCCATGTCGGAATAAAATCACGAGGGTCTTGTTAGAGTCGTGTCACACTCGCGTCATCTCGATCGTTTAGTCTAAGGTGGTCAAGATGGTGGTCTTAATTCAGTCTTTTTCTCATCTTGACGCTGCGACAAAATCAACCATGTTTAATATTTTCGTAAGTTTTAAGTCTTGGCTCATGCAAATAGTGACTTGCCAGGGGGCGTGCATGAGTGCTTGCGGGCGAGCGCAGGCGCGTGGCGCGATAGAAAGAGAGAGAGAGAGAAAGAGAGAAAGAGAGAGAGAGAGAGAGAGAGAAAATGCAGGCGGAAGTGCCTGAAATCTCTGTAAAAACGGCAAATCTGCTCCACTTCAATACAATAATCATATTAAGTTAAAATGTAAACTGACTGTTTTAATATTTAATATTTACAGTGGTTTCTTATTTTGTTTGTTTGCTTCTTATGGTTTAGTTCATAACACCCAGTCAACAATGGTGATTCGCTGCATGTTGTGTTGATGTGTAAATCTTTATATCAAATTTAAAAAGTAGCAGCACATTTTACAGGTTAATTAAAAGATTCTGGGTGACGATCTGTCAGAGTATACAGTTCTATAGTGAACTGGGCTGAGCCTCAGATCTTTACACGCCCAGCCAACGTATCTTCCCATCTGTACCACTATAGAGTGGAAGGAAAAGTGTTTATCTGCTTGTAAATTTCCACCGGGCGCATGATGGGGAATAATCCCAAATCTAGTTGCAGTCTTGTAAATAGTGACACTGCAAGATTCCTAGTCTTTGCAAAATCATAGTCTGTGACTAAAAACGTGACACTGTCTTTAGACGTGAGAGAGTGTCAGACTTCAGTCTTTCAAAAGTCTTTTCAAAGTGTTCTAGTGTATGGTTAGCATAAGTGAAAGTAACCCAATTTCTCAGTGTTCAAAACAGCACTGCATTTCAATTGTGTGACTTGCAGGTGGCAAAACCAGGCCTAGACCAGCAGTAGTGGCAAAGGTATATTGCCTTACACAGAACAAATTTTTACCCTTTTTATTTTGCTAGTTCAAGTGTCTGACCATATTAGGGATGACTCATCATACCATTCATGACAAAACTCTTATTTTCCTATAATCTTCCATCAAAATTAAATGACCGCTTGCTTCCAAAATGTCAGAAAGTCATCACACACCAGTAGGCACGGAAGAATAATATTAATCAATCACCATCCCCAACCCAGAGCATAAGCTCCACCCCTCTCTGCCTGTGGCTTCCAAGACAGATGGCAAATGGGAGACCCTTGGAAGAGACTGAGGAGAGTATCAGCGATACAGTTTAAAATTTCGATACATCATTTCATCATCATGTCAGCTTTTACTGTACTGTTGCACCCTTAGGGATAATACAGGTAAGACTGGATCGGATCATAACAGATGACGTGTAGTTGGACTCATTTAATGTTACGACACGAAACACAGAGTAAACTACTCGAAAAGACTACAGCAGCAGAGCTGAGGCCACTGGAGTGAGAGTGATTATTTTTTTAGCCAGCATTTGGCAGGTTTGTTATTTCATCTTCTCTCTTGTCTTTTGCTTCCTGACTGGTGGGTTTATTTGCCCTTCTGCATGCCGGACGGAGAGAGCCGGCCCTGAACATCGTTAGTGTTGCATCATCCAGGTGTACACAGTGTTGCTGCTACTGGCAACCCATCAAAGTCCATACAGCAAACATGGCAGCTCTGTAGGGAGTTTCCCAGCCTGTGGAACCCACCTGTCAGTGCTCCAAAAATAACAAAGCTGTTGAAAGAAACAGCTCTGCAAGCAGCAGGGGCAGATTTTGGAGATGGACTCTCAAAGCGAATGGAAATGAACACAGTAACTTGGCCTATGGTTTATGAAGCGCAGGTAATCAGCGCTTAAAGAGGCTAAGGCTGAGAAGAAATACATAAAAGATTTTCCACAATCTTAATATCCAAAAGCTAAAAATCTATCTACACACCTTTGTTGCACTCATATAACATAATACAACCACAGAAAAAAACACTCACTAGAACCATTAGGTAAACAATTAAAGGAAAGCTAAGCTACAAATTACATATCTTACATTTAACCCTTGCATTATGCAACAACCGTCCTCTGATCTAATGAGCGAATGTCACCAAAACTGGCCCAAAATGACTTGGAAAAACGTTTGGTTCCATTTACTTCCCTTAAAAGTAAAGTATGTTTCTTCCTTCTCCTGTAAAGTTGTCATTTTGAAGATACAAGGTTTTGTTCTGACGTGCGAAATAATGGAATAATACACATTTCTAACAGTATACTTAAAAACATTTTAGATGCTTAAGTAGACCTATTTTTGTAGAATAACAGTGGCTTATTGTTATGTGATACGCCTTCACTTTTAATAAGAACCATATTTAACAACCAAAGTAAATCTGAAATCATTTTATTGTGCAAAAACACTGCAAACACTAGCCCTGCTCGCCGGGCAAAAGCAGTGAAATGTTATTTCACATCTTAATTTCTATAATGCTGAATTCCTTCTTATTTGCCAGCTTTTTATTTGAATTTGCCATTCCTCCTTAGATGTAGCAGTAGTCACATTCTGGCAAAGAAAGAAGGGCCATTCCTTTATGTTCACTGCCTCGAAAGCAAAGTGGACTACTTCAGATGAAACAGACCAAATAGTGGAAGGTGATCGAGACACTGCTTTAATTTTCATTTGAACAGGCCAAATGGACTAATGTTAATGTGGTTTTACAAGGATTGTACGCTGTATTATCTGCACTCATTTGTGGTATAATGGTTGTGACTGGTTCACCTGGTATACTGAGGAAGAATATCAACCAGTATACCAGATGAACCAGTATTCTACCCACTACTGCTAGACAGTGCAGATAGCAGACTGTGTGTGCTATCTAGTACCACATATAACTATAATGCATTTTAGTATTGTATCTATTATAGTGTATTGTTATGTTGTACTGTTATATGTAGCACACATGTTGCCCAAAGAGTCTTGTGAGCAAGCTTTTTGGCTTGCTTTTGCATCAGCATGAAGACAATAATGTTGAACTAAACTGAACAGGGCCTACACAATAGATCAGTAGGGTGATAATATTGGTTGATGTTTATGACCTGCCGTATTATCAGTTTAGACAGCAATTACTAGCAAGGTCTTTTGGCTAGCAAGTGGGATCTGAACTGTTTAGTGCTCAATAGGGCAAAGCCTTAGATTGTTGTGCCAGTGGGGAACCCGATATTAGACTCCTGATTCAACTATATGACTGCAATACAGGCTAAACCGATATATCAGAACACTAAACACCAAGAGCATCAAAAATAAATACAACCCTAACTTTCAGCATGAGAGAAGCATCATATCACAAAACAAGACACTTTTATGAACAGAATTAATGAGAGATAACAAAAAAAAAGAGGTAATAAGCAGAAACCAACAACGCAAAGAATTCTGGGTAGCTCCACCTACAGTGCTCCAACATTTATAATATTTATAACTGTAAGTTTGTGCTGTTTGAGTTTAACAAGTGTGACTAGAGACCTGACAATCACATCACTCAGTAAAGCACTGTTTAAAGGCTGCATTATGTACGTTTTGGGGATTTTGAAAAAATGTGGAATTGCACACACCATGCAGGACAACATTTTCTAATAAGGACCCATTCCCCCAGTGGATGAATCTTGAACGCTGAAAGAGTATTCAAAGAGAACATTCAGCTTATTTCGGTCATTGTTGTATACTTACCTGGTTAGCTAGCTAGGAGTAAAACAGCACTTTGTTGCCCAGCTAAACTGCCTTATCTGTAAAGCAGCCCTCTAGCAACTGAGATGTATTCCACTTTTAAAAAGTGACCGGAGAGTGTACGCTGAGTGTGCAGGGTACTATTTCGTTAAATAAAGATCATTCTTTGGAAAGTTTTTTTTTTAAATCAAAATACTGAAAATCTAGAAATTGAAGCAAAAATTGTAGACTTGTTACATCTGTAGTCCTAATAGTACAACAAAAAAGCACTAAGAAGACCAAACAGTCTACTTCACTTACCCTACACACAGACATCTGGTTGGTGGTCAGAGTGCCTGTCTTGTCGGAGCAGATGACAGAGGTGCAGCCCAACGTCTCCACAGAGGGCAGTGAACGGACGATGGCGTTCTTCTTGGCCATGCGGCGGGTGCCCAGGGCCAGACAGGTGGTGATGACAGCGGGAAGCCCCTCAGGGATGGCAGCCACTGCTAATGCTACAGCGATCTTGAAGTAGTAGATGGCCCCGCGGACCCAAGAGCCGCCGTGGACGGGGTCGCCAAAATGGCCGATGTTGATGACCCAGACGGCCACGCAGATGAGGGAGATGACTTTGGAGAGCTGCTGGCCGAACTCATCCAGCTTCTGCTGCAACGGCGTCTTCTCCTGCTCCGTGGAGGCCATCTGGTTACGGATTTTGCCGATCTCTGTGGAAACGCCAGTGCAGACGACCACGCCGATGGCACGTCCTGCGGCTATGTTGGTACCCTAAAAAGGAAGGAGGACAGACGTAAACACAGACATACACACACAATAAGATCATACATAACAGTACTGACCAAAAATCAGAGACCATCTTTTCATTTTTTTTAATTTCCAATCAAAACAGGCATTAAGCCCAAAAGCAGAAAAACATTTGCTACTTGCAAACACCCCAAAGTTTATTCTTAGAAGTTGGTTGCATTTTCTGCTTCGCACAATCCAATAAATCCTTATGGCCTCTTACTCGAACAACTCAGATGTCCAGTTTCCGAGTTCTAATGCAATTTTTTTTCTTTTCTGCCTATTTCATTTTTTCAGAAACATCGTTTTGATAGCTACACATCCTTCCAGATCCTTTTCAGGCTGGATGAAACAGGTCAAAAACTTTTCTTTTAATAAGCTTTTGAACTTCAACTCCTGTTTATTTTTTGCCCATCGTCCTTTAATGTTTCCCTTCATTATGAAAGTGGATTATTTTACATCTAATCTCTTTTAGCCATTTTAGATGCACATGAGAAAGAAACGTGCAAGGCAACTAAGGTATGTTTGGGGAGCTGCTTCTGTGAATGTTAGGTTTTATGTAATCTGTTAAATACAAAATATTTATTTATTTATTTTTTTATTTTCCTGACACTGCGAACTTGCACTTTATGACGGTTCTGACTGGAAATGAAATAAACAAAGGGATGGTCTCTGACTTTTGTACAGTACCGTAGACTACCATTAAAAAGTTTGTTCAGACTAATTTTTACTATTTTCTATATACAACAATAACTTCCACAATGTAGAAATATTATAAACTAAATACCAAAAGGTATCTTCAGATGTTTTATTTAATATTTCCATTATATTGTGAAATTATGGTAAATAAAAATCTGTAATAATCTATATACAATATCTTGACAACTTATCTGCCTTCAGATTTAATCACCACTTTTAAAATACAAGGTATTTTGGATAATAAGTTCATTCTAACTTCATTTTTCATTTTCTACAGCTTTCACAGTACTTTTAGCATCATCATTCTGGACATATCCAACATGTCTCGCCCATGGGGGGCCCATGATATTATTTAGCATGTTCAGAGTTGAACATGACTAATGTATTAGAAGCAGTTCATAAATGTTTATGCAAACTTGATTCCAAATTTTGGAACTCTAGTTTATTGCTTTAGCTCCAAAGACCAAAGAAAAAAGGGCAAAACCCCCTTTTTAGGCCTTATTTACGGTCTTTCCAGATAACTTTGTAGGCTTGGATGGAAACAACAGCAAAAGAAATTCCTCAGCTCCATACACTTACTTTACATAATGTGACCTGGAAACTTCATTCACTTGGGCATAGAGTACTTCAGCTGGCCATAATGTCATTAGACAGCGTTTTTCCAGGGGAGTCTATCGTTTAAAGGGATGATGTGTTGGAAAATGCATAAAAGGCAGGCTATAAAAAGCACATCACACAAGTACAATTTGGTTTAAGGGACTAAACAGCTAAACAGAGGCGCACTCTATTCCATGCGATTGCACGGGCTGAAGTGATTAAAGTGCTCCGAAGGTGTTCCCCAGCCATAAATAACCCTAATGCAATCTAAGTGGACAGAGGGTGGAAATCCTCCTGCGTATCCTGTGTATTTAGACTGACTTAAGCCTTGTATTTATACTATACCCTAATGCTTTCTGCGAACAGAACAGGGTAGATGGGGCAAGAGAGAGAGAAAGAGTGAGAAAGAGAGGCAGAGAAGATGGCATTTTGTAATACAGTTGCAGTATGCAGGATATGAGAGTGAGTTTATGTTTGATCATGACAATATGAGTGGGAGGAAGATGTTTAAAGAAGAAAAACATTCAGGATTAAAGGGCATGCAGGACAAAACTATCCAACCAGTGGGTCATTATTATATTTGTACAATTTTTTATGTTTAAAAAACAATATTTGGCCACTTCAGGGCCCAGAAATAGCCTATAACAAGGCATGAATAACTGACTGGGCCAGTGAGGACAGTGCCTAGGGGCCTCTGACTGCGAGGGGCCTTGGAACCACCCTAGACTACGAGCCCTAGGGTGGTTCCAAGACTCAGGACAAACCACTGGGGCGGTTCAAAACTCAGGGAAAACCACTGCAGCTATTAAAATCTAATGAATAAGTAGCCCTAGAACATAATAATGACTAAATAAATAAATGAATGAAGAAATGTTATCTGTCCTCAGCCCTCCGGTACTGTTCTTATTTCAAGATGTACATTATATCAACTTGATGAGATACTGTCGCAATTGGTGCTGCGGGCACGACTTCATCTTTTTTTTAATTGGTTCTAATATACCTATATTTGTTTGTGTTTTCCAGTTGCTTTATTATTAAGGGGAGCAGGCAACCAGGGGCCTTGCAAGACTATGATCCATCCCTGCCTACAACTGTATACACCTTCGGCACATGGGCTGCACAATAACTCGTATTAAAGTATTAAAGTGATGCAATGAGAGCGGTAGAATGTAGCGTTAGAATCCCAATAAGTGCTTCCCTGTGTTGGGCTTGAATTCTGCTCTCCCCCTTGGAGAACAAGTAACTTAGCCATTCAACATAGACTGTACTGTAAAACATGTAAAGCAATAATGGCAACTGCCACAACACACTAGCGCCTTCATAAAGAGCATAAAATTCACATAAAATCATCACTAATTTTTTTTTTTTTTTTCATTTTTTCATTTACACACAGCTGTTCTACGTTATGCGAAAATGTTTTAATGATCGGACTAAAGAAATGATCCAAAGTAGCTTGGAATTAAATTTCTTCATATTAACTAACTATTAAAAGTAAAGAACATACCATTTAAAAAAAATTGTTTTTCAGACAGCGGACTGAAAATTATTTATGTTTATTTATTTACATTTATAGGCTCGTATTTAATTAAAAACACACACACTTATTTATGTTTGTAGCCTACTTGCAAACACAAACACAAAAAGCTGTTTAGGGAATCCTGAGTGTTTTTAGACTGAAGCACCTCATGGAACCCTTGTTCTACAGGCTTTAAATGCTCCACAAGGGGGCAGCATTAGGATTCAAATATCTTTCAAAGCTACCTGTATTCTGTTTGTATATTTTTTTGCTGTTTGCTAAAGGAGTGCCTAGTTAGACCTCTGTTTACATAGCAAAAAAAGAGGGAAGCAACACATATACTCCACCCATAAAATAAGTACACGTATGACTTTACTAGGCTCAAATTATTTTACTGTTCAGTTCTTCTGAACAACTTCTTCACTTCTGCGGCCCCCTCACCACCCCCACTTCCTAATACGTTATAGCGTATCATCGTAAGAGACTCTCGAAGTGCATTCATGTGCAAACACACACACATACACTCTCACCCCTGCACACACTCTGCTCAAAACAGGAAGGAAGTGCTTACAGAAAACAGCATATTCTTCTTATCTTGATTAACAGCTCGAGGGTCCGGCACAGGATCTGTGTGTTTGATAACTGATACAGACTCGCCTGGTAAAACAAAACACAAAAACAAATAAAAATGTAGTGATATTTGCCATTTGGACAGTGACACATGCCCTTAAATGCAAAGTAATGAAGCAGTTGGAAAGGCACATTAGAGTTTACAGTGAAGCTCTGATAACAGTTAACTACACCAACAAAAGAGAGTACGGTTTAAATGAAATAAAATGTAATCCAAAAGAGAATAACAATTAGTAATAGAATTAATAATAATAAAAAGAATATTGCTATTTGATAAAGGAATATGCCAGCAATTTGCAGCCTAATCTCTATCTTTTGCATGTGTAAGGTATTGTTTATAGTCACAGACTAGAGCTGGGTGATACTGATACAATTCACAATTCACAATGTTTTCCAGAATATATCCCAGTATCAGAGAATATTTTGTTGGAATAAGTTTATATTGATACAGTTGATGAACCCATGTGCTTGGAGTACAGCGACTCTATACAAAAGAATGTCTTAGAAACCTGATGTAGCTTGGTTTGCTGGAACTGTTTTGTTCTGTTTTCTTCTCTTAAAATGGCACCAAATGGAAACTTGCTGTGTTATAAACGCTAACGCATGAGTAAAGAAAGCAACCTGGACAGCACTGTTTTATGGGCCTTATATCATGCATACAATGTTGATTATTTATTAAATATATTGCTAAGATAACCACTAAAAGTAAAAAAAAATCCCAGAACGATTATAGACAATTTCCCTCGATTTACAAAAGAACAGAAAACCTCTTGACTTAAAAAAGACATCTATAAAGGTTCCTGGTAAAATTATATGTTTTGCTGATTTTCTGACTGATAATAAGTTAACATATCCTTAATAGGAAACTTAAATACGGCATTTTTCTGCAAACTGTAGTGCACAATATCTATTTATTTAACATACTGGAAAAAAACTGATACCTTAATATGCCATTACTTTTGCATAGACCACATTTTATGTTTCCCTCCTTCCCCAATATGTTAAATTCAACAAATAAACAGTGATTACAGAAACTAACAGGTATTAAAATGTGTTCTTTGTAGAGGATGTTTTCTTTTCACTTGGAAAATCAACAAAATCTGTAATTTGTGCCTTGCCCAGGGGTCGGCAACATACAGCTTTTACTGCCTCCTTGCGGCTCCGCAGCAGAATTAGAGTTTTAGATAAAAATAAAATAATCCTCCTTCGTAGTAAAATACAGCTCTGCTGATCATTCTAACATGTTTTAACAATAAACAATCTTAAACGCTGGAGCTAATGTACATCTGCTAATTCACAAACCTTTAACCCTGAGGATTGGTGCGCGGACTGCTGGTCACCATAGAAACACAGACAACAATCTCGCCTAGCTAGTATCTAACAAAAAGCCAAAGAGATAACATTTAAGACGAACCTCGACTGACTTCTTTGCATTTGTAACTTATTTTTAATCTGCATTGAGAAACTGTCAAATACTAAAAAGTAGCGAAGCTGAAGTCAGTTTCTCTTCAAAATTCCCCGTTTCCAGGGGAATGGTGCAGCAGTAACATTCTGGCGTCTCAGGCACCATCTAAGGTGGAACAGGAAAATTCAGACAAGGCGCTCGAATGAGCAGCTGACTTTAGCCTCGTAAAAAATCGAACACTGAGAGACGTTCACAGTTTACAAGAAACTGTTCTACTTTTGTTGGAAAGTTTCCTGCCAGAGATGCGAGAAAAGCGGCTATAGCTGAGCTAAAGCTTAAAGCAGAGCAAAGTAAGTCTGCGTTTTTGCTTATATTATGTCTTTTAGCCTAAACTAGGACATTACCACATACTAAGACATATTTACAGCCAGGATTGCATAACATTACTTCAATGAAATAAAAAAATTGTGGCTCCCAAAGTGGTTTGATTTTTGTTGAAAAGACAAAATGGTTCTTCTTAACGTTTGGGTTGCCGACCCTTGGACTAACATTTTGCATATGAATGTACAACAGAAGCTGGTGGGCAGATGCTTCAACAGGGTTTTTTTACATGGGAAAACTTCAGAATAATGGTGGTCTGTGGTAATCAACCTTGTGATACAGATGGAGCACATGAAGATTAGGCTCAAAAACACTGGAGTATTCCTTGAACTAGCACAGCCTAGTTAAAGTCTAAAGAAGGACCCTGTACCTGTGAGGATGGACTGGTCCACACGTAGAGTAGTGGATTTAATGGAGACGATTCGAATGTCAGCAGGCACCTTGTCACCAACTGGAAAAAGAAACAAGTATATAAGCATTTCACAGTGTCATATATAAGATACCATAAGAGTCCACTGTTCAATGCCACATATAAAATAGATAAGAGCCAACTGTTCAATGTCACCAACATAGCATCACAGAGCTTTTGGTGAAATTGGCAATTTCCATTATATATATACCATTTATGTGAATTGTGTAGAATTAAAGAGGTGGAAAAAGATTAATATGTGTAAATTAACGTTATTTGCCAACAAAACAATAAGCTACCACCTCATTTGTGTCAGAAACTGGTGTAGAACATGGATTTCTGGAACTCCTCTGAGATATAAGCAACTGTCTACACATTAAATCGCAAAATGATGATCATCAGGGTTCAAGCATGAAGTGCCTTAAGGAGCCAGCACAGCCCTTTTAGAAAGAAGAACACCACTTACGGGCAAAGATTTTTGGAATGGGGAGGCGATATGGCAAAAATATCATATCATGTCACTACAAGACACTTTCATAATATGCAATATGTTTCATGTTATTTTGACAAACAGACACAATTCACTAGTAGCGTCACAGCGTTACAAACAGACATCAAAAATTAAGAATATATTTTTATTCAGCGTTTCACATACTGCACTGCTCTAAATCCGGTTACACAGGACTTATTATGATCTCTTGGTAATGAAACATGCAGTTGTTCAGTGCTCTCTGAGTACTGATGATTACTGAACACTAACTGATTTTATATTAAAGGGGCCCATGTATGTATTTATTCCCTGAGATCTTGTTATGACGTTTGTATATTTTTACTTACCAAAAACAGTCATAATTTATTTCTGAATGGCCATTTCCAACCTCTCTTTAACCCTTAAAATTAGACAGGCTGTTTAGTTATTATGCCTTTAAGACTGATATATGCAAATGAGCTCTGTCCTGACTGGCTGTCCTATGTATCATACAAAAAGCAGTCCAGGTTAAAACACTCCTTATAACTTCAGCATGAATAGACGGGGCTAAACTGCTGTATAGGTAAGTATATGCATATGCATTGTTTTTTCATGACATCATAAAAATAATGAATTAAAAATGAGCTTGTGCAGCTTAGCTTCCATATAAAGGCTGTATGAAGTGAAAGGTAAATTTAGAAACTAAGGATATTTACATACTACATCAAACTTTTTTATTTAAAAAAAATAATAATTATACAGGCCCTTAACTGTTGTGTTCTAAGCTACAGCAATATTTTGAACAAATCAGTCAAAATACCTAGAAAGCATGTGATTTATACCAGTATAGCTGTTGAACACACCAAGCATAAATGACTCATCTTATGTTTTTCTAGTTTTGTGAAAAAGCATAATTTATTTTTACATGACCATTTTCCAGCCTCTCTTTATCTTAATTAAACAGGCTGTTATTGTTACTGTGCCTATAAGACTCAAATAAGATAAACAGGCTTTGTTCTTATTGGCTTCTCACAGCTGAAACACTCCATAAAAGTTCAATACTAGTGGGTGGAGTTAAACAGTTGTAAGCTGAAAAGGTGGATATAAGTAAATATGTTTAGGCCTGTGACATCACAGAAACAATGAATTAAAACAGACTGTTTTAGCAGGACAGTTTCATTATATGGACTGTGTGGACTGAGAAAGTGAATGGAACATTTAACAGTAATTACATATTACTTTATAAAAAAAATACAAACAAACTTTGGAACGTTTGTTTTTCCGTGATATGGGCTCTTTGTCAACTCCATCCTCTGGAGCTGCCGCCTCAAACCAGCTTATTCTAGCATCTTACTTACCTGCCTTATTACCCCACTTATCGGACTGTTACCTCACTGATCCCTTTCTCTGCCACTATACACCCTTTTAACTGCTGCGGCACTCAGCACTTTAACTTTAGACCCATACTTTGCACAATGTAAGGTTTACAGGTATGACTGTGTGTGTGTGTGTGTGTGTTTGAGTGAGTGATGGTAGGAATGCATGTTTTATTTTATTTTGTTATATTTTATATTTATTTTATTTTATTCACTACATGTAAATGTCTGTCTGGTACTGTGCACTGTGAGCTCCTGTAAATTCCTTGTATGTGTAAGCATACCTGGCCAATAAAGCTTGATTCTGATTCTGATTGATTAATTATTCTTCAGCATTCCATGTTTCGCTGTATAAAACTTCATTTTCATGTTAAATCACTAAAATTTTCTTTGAAGGACCAAGTCTTCAAGACTCCCCTACAGATAGCTGGTTTCTGAACTTGCCAAAGTAACATATACATAAAAATACATAGAACATAAAAATAAAAAAATGTTTAAATCAATCTCAATATGCTATTTGTGAAATGTTCAGCCTTGTGATTTCATATTTTACTGAATGAAAACATATCGATAATAAACACACTGAAACTGAAAATTATGGAGCTCTCTGGATGTATTTATTTGAACTGTGGACCCATTATGGCCCCACATAAAAATATATACAGCAATATCTTAGACTGGCCACTAGACGGAAGGCAGTCAGAGGTGATATTACATGGTTCATTTAGCATTAACTGAAACAAACATGAAGCAGCTAGAGACAAAACAGAACGTTTTTTCAACCGTTCTCATCCCAGAGGGGTTCTGAGACACAAAAGACAAACAGGAAATAAGACAGGAAGAGCAGCTGAACCATCAGTAACCATCCAAAACCTTTGCTCTTGCGGCCGTGTTCTCTGGATGAACACTCTGATACAGCGGATCGAAGCAGCCGGCGCGAACGCACAAGCCTGGAGGCAAAGATGCTGCAGCATAACGGAGACACCTAACCTGCGTCGAAAGACAAACAGCATGCACACAGCCACGACCGGTCAATTCCAAGCTGATGAGGACACGGTCACTTCGGGGGATCAATACTACGCCTGACTGCTACATCAAGACACAAAAAAGCGACTCCAATTTTAGAGAGAGAAAAACGTGAAGGTGGAGACAATCAAGATTGGTGTCTGGGAACAAATGCAGTCAATATCTGTGTTACTTTCACTTTTTCTATTCATTTTTCAGTATTTTGTGTATTGAGAACCATTTAAATGGAGAAGAAGGAATACCCTTTCTCTCTGATCATGCCAGAAAATAAGATTTCAGAATTTTTATGCATTATTTCAAGTCAACTTGACAAAATAGTCCTTTTTCTTCTTTAGTTGTTTGAGGGGGAACAATAACTTTCCTCAAGGTCCTGTAATTGGCCTGAAAGTCTGAAACATCTACAAAAAAAAAAAAAAATTCACACTGCAAACAAACCAAACCATGGTTCAGTTCGATCCAGACCATGACCACTTCTTTTAGTCCTTTAGTCTGGACCGTGGTCCGAAGCACCTTTCACACCTGCAATTTTGGTTCAGACCAAAGCACGGTATGAAAGCACCTTCAGCCACTTAACTAAACGGGGCTAACATTAATGTGGTTTGCAGCATTTATTTGTTGTGTTATTTGTGCTCATTGGTAGCACAGTGGTATAAAGGTTATGGCAAAACTCATACCTGAGGAGGTGAACCAGTACATTGTCCACTACTAATGGGGGGTCTTATTGCTCTGTAACATGACCAAATTAACAAAAATCAAACTGGTTATTTGGCTGCCCTGTCCCACGTCACATTTACAGGGCAGCTCAGGTCAAAATGTGCAGTAACGACACTTCTTATCACTTCAGTGTGAAACTGCTGTAGGATGAATGGGTGGTCATTTGTAAATGGGTTCACAGTCGTGACATCATAACCATTTTGAATTCACAATGAGCTGTTTTTGCTGCTTAGTTTCCATATATAGATTGTATGGACTGGGGAGTGCAGGGTATGTCTTAAAACTTTAATGTTCGCATAGTTCATCAAACAGTTATTTAAAAAAGGCAAGGAAAATTCACTGTTCCACGATATGAGCCCATTTAGATAAGCTCCATCCTGCTGCTATTTTAGATCTGTACTCTTGCTGGGATAAGTTTCCTACTTTTGATCTCTCCAGATCTCATCCAGTCCATCGACACTTTTCCATGTAAAAAAAAAATTGTTTTAACCGCTAAAACTTTGGGCAAACCATGACGGAACCTTCTGGCTAGGTCTTTTGACAGCTCAGTTTTCGTTCTGCTAGTGGCAAAGTATAATATATTTGGAAACGTGTTAATGATCCATAGCCTGGTGACTAGACGTGTCAAATGTGTGTTCATTAGCAGTGTTCCATCTCCCACTGATCACAGGTCAGGCCTAATGATGTTTCAGAGTTTTACAGATAGGCTTGTTACAATTAGGCAATTTGAATAGGCAATTATGTAGCCATTTCAACACCTTTAAAAGAGATAGAGGAGCCTAAGGGAAAAGCCGCAGGCCAGGCAGGGGCTGCGAGTGAACGCACGCTCTTTTCTTTCAGGTGAACTATGCATCTAAACAAACAGGCAACACCTGGGATAACCTGAGGAATCACGCATCTGTAGGATTTGCTATTGGTAGCAACTTCCTGGTGTGATCTGTATCCTGATAAAAGTGTCATAATACATACCACGATCTGTCACGCTATGATGAGCATCGTGATGCAAGTAACAAATTACAAATGCATCCCAATAAGTGAGTCTGGAACCAAATCCTGAGAAATGAATGATTTAGAGGTGCATGTTCATTATATAAAACAAATTCAAAGCAACACAGGTGTTTCATCAGCAGAATTTTCATCAATATAGAGAAACCTGTTATTGGCCAACTGATTGGTCAGGGCCTAGACCTTAAAGATGCTAGTAAGGCGATTGGAAATAACAAAACTTCAAATCTTAATGATATTAGGGAATTGTGATTCGTTGATCCTTATCCATGGTTAGGCTCAAGTATTTCAGACTGAATGACGATTGACAGTGGTATAGCCATGGCAATGTCCAGCCATAGCAATAGTAGAAAGCATTTTAGTTCATTTTTTAAGCTTTAATTTTCTGGCAGAGGTTGGACTTTCAATCTTTGAGAGATGTGGCTAATGCAAACATCCAAACACCACTGTCA